GGAAAGAGATGTTCTTTCTGAAACGGACTAAAAATGAAAGTAAGATAAATAAATTGAAATGGAGGAAGTATTATGGTGGTTCATCTTGAGTTCAGTGTTGTGTGATATTGACTATTTAGACGAAATATGGATTAGCCCAGGAGGACTGATAATGAATTTTGATGTTACTTGGAAGGTGGTTTAAAATATGTAACGGAAATAGTAGTGTGAGTTTTGGTTTGAAACTCACACTGTCAATAGATTAGGTATGAAATTATAAAAATGGAATAATTTAGGTGTGTTTTCGACACGTTTGTCTTAGTTTTTCTTTAAGTATTTTTTATTGCCAAAGCCAGTTGTGTGATTGAAGCCTGCTATTTTGCAAGGAGTTAATAAAGTCTAACAAGGTATCACAATGGTTTGCATTTATCATATTACATACCAAAACACCAAGGGATGTACGCATCCATGTTTAATGAAGTGCTGCCGCTCTTCCCTCAAAACTTCTAGACTTCCTTCCTGTCTACGAAGTACGCACATTGGGATGGTGCTCCACAGAACTTTGAGCTATGGATTCATCCTTTGTCCTCTCCAGCTACTGATTGTTCCTTTTTAGTTACTTGGCGTTATCCATTTACTCCAAAAAAATTTGTAAAACATACACCAAATCTGCTAGGATATAGAGCAATGCTTTTCACAGATGTACATTGGCTGCAACAGTAAGACATGATCTTTGCATAGCAATCCAAGTTAAAAGGACCACCTTCATGGCACCTTTTTTTTATTATTTATAAATTATTCCAACGGTAATGCTTTTTTCTTCCAGTTCTAACCAGAACACTATAGCAATACGTAACAGAGGAGCAGCTAACCTTTTTTCTGCTTTTTAGGTTTTGGAGAGAAGTCCTTTTTGAGATGTGATCATAACAATTGTTATTTATTTATCCTTGGTTGTTGATGAATTGAGACAATGATTATGTACGCCTTATGTTCTTACTGTTTTTAACAGTTAGCTAAGTAATTGTATTGTTTCAGATACATATTGTTGTGATTTGTATGACACCATTATTAATGATCTTAGACTGTTGTGTTTTGTCTTGAGAAGTTTAAGATCAGTTATTTTTGTTGGATTAGTCAAGTGTGTCCCCCATTGTTGTGTGCATTAATTAAATTAATTGTCCTTTTCCTTCTTTGCAGGTTGAGCCTTGTTTCTACCATAAAGGTGTGTCCTCCTGTTTTGTTAGATTTTTCTTGTTTCTCTTATTCTTCTTTTTTGGCATACAAGTGGAGCAAATTTTTGAATTCCTGTTGCTTGCTTGTTTTAAATCTCTGTTTTTTCCTAGTTTGCTAAGAATATATCTTCAATTTACTAGACGAGCTTCGCCTTGAACACGATACTTCTAAGGTGTCAGTAATTCTTATTCTGGTAACTTCAAAATTTTTTACTGAAATTCTGGATGCCATACTGCTATTCTCTCTGGTCTAGAGTTATCTTCTTGTTTGAAGAATATGACTTTCGCATCACATTGTTTTGATCTCTTCCCATGCGTGCTATTATCTTTCATATAATAGCTTGAAATCATAATGCAAAGGCTACACAGCCTATGTAGCCACCGTTGCCAGCTATCTTTCCTTGGCAACAACCATCAGCATCAGATTAATGATCAAGGAGGTACTCTTTTAATCCATTCTATGGAAATCAACTTTTAACTTTATCCTTATCAAACCCTGTGGTATTGGGACAAATTTGGTCCTTCATTACGTAAGAACAAGTCTTACCCATGTCTTTTTTATGCATATTTCCCTTAATCTTCTGCAGGACCGAGCAAGTGAGATATACAAAAGGCTGGAAGACCAGAAGTGTACGAGAGGAAGGAATTTGGATGCCTTGGTAGCTGCTTGTATTTACATTGCTTGTCGGCAAGAAGGCAAAGCACGCACTGTAAAAGGTACTATCATGACATCTTATTATGTAGATTAATGGTTCAGTCCTCTGTATGAACTTCTCTGAACCTTTGGGTGTTAACTAGAAATATGCTCAATCGCCAATGGAGCTACAAAGAAGGAAATTGGCCGAGCAAAAGAGTTCATTGTGAAACAATTGAAGGTTGAAATGGGAGACTCAATGGAGATGGGGACTATACATGCTGGAGACTATCTGGTGAGTGAGAGCAAGTGTTGTGGTCTGCAACTCTTTGTGAGTGCATTCAGTACAATATGAATTTTTATCTGATGCGGACCATGCATGAATGTCAGAGACGTTTCTGTTCTAACATTGGAATGAACCATGAAGAGATTAAGGCTGTCCAGGAAACTGTCAAGAAGTCGGAAGAGTTTGATATAAGGTACAGAAGTGTTTTTGGTTATCGTCTAATCAAGTTATCAAATGTTAATTATTGTGCCTTAAACCAAAAGTAATATTAGTCTAGTAATCAAGTCGATTGTGGATATGAAAAAGATTAGAGCGAGGGAAAATGGGTTTCACCACAGATTTGTATGCGACTTATCTCATTGGTCGAATAACATAAATGTTTATTCCTGATTTTGCAGGAGGAGTCCTATTTCAATTGCTGCAGCAATAATATACATGCTAACACAGCTTACAGATTCAAAGAAACCCCTGCGAGGTTTGGGCATTACCTTCTTTTTTGTAAACCTGGGCAATATACTATATTTTATCGCGCTATACTTTTAAGGCTTCCAATACTATAGTTTTATTGTTTCCAAGTCGACTATTGGTTGCGTAAAGTATAGTGCTGATCTGGATATACTGAAGATACTTTTATTCCGGCTGTGTAGCTTGACTGATAGGCTGTACATGCAGATATCTCAATTGCAACCACAGTTGCAGAAGGGACTATAAAGAATGCATATAAGGATCTCTATCCACATGCTTCCAAAATTATACCTCAATGGTACCTCAAGGATAAGGACATTAAGAGCCTAAGCAGTCCCAAGGCATAGAGGTTCGATTTCTACAACACCTGCTGCTCTCGCTAATCGTCTACCCTTTGGGGGAAGTGTGATTTCTATGTTAGGTATAACGATATATGTCGGTTAATGTAGTATAGAATCTCCTGTTATAAGGCCTAAATCTTCAAGAGAGTGCCCAGAATAGAGACAATTAGATAGATGTATTGAAGTTATTAGGGTAGTGTGGTATAATATGTTGATCCCATTAGTAATCAGATTCTTTTTCATTTCCTCTTTTCTTCCCTCTCACAATACAGATAGGCTAATTAATTTCATAATCTATTTGACGTATATGATAAGGCCTTTAGTTGTCTATTTCTTTTTTATAGTTACCAATTGTTATTAGCAACATTTTTTCAATGTTTGTTCAGTCAAGGGTTAATAGAAAACAATCTATCTACCTTCTTAAGGTATGTAGACCTATATAAACAGTAAGGTTTATGTACATTTTACCCTTTTTGGACTATTTGTGGGAGAGTTTTTACGAAATTTTTTTTTCGAGCAGTACAATAAAATGATAGAAATGAAAAGGGGAACTTACCAATTCAAAAGCAAAGTATATTAAATCGATCTTAATACTTGTTTCTATCCCTAACAAAAAAAATGTTTTCAGAATACTTATCGATCTTAATTACATGCTTCTATCCCTGGTAAAAAATTATTTTCAAACAACTCGAGATATTTGGACATGGTAGAGTTGTAAACTTATGTAGACCCACGTTGAATCCTGCATCAAAGTCTTGACACTGTCCGAGTAAGCTAAGAGCTATTCAAATGGGAATATCTTTAAATAGTAAATAAATAAAAAAAATAGTTATGCTTTTCAACATAAAATATTTATATACATTAAAATATCTTCAAATAATAAATAAATAGACAAAAAATATTATGCTTTTCGACTAAAATATTTATATAAGTTAGAATAATTCATGGCATGAGATGAGTATCATAATATAAAAATGTGGAGAGCAACCAATACCAAATACTATTGACGTTTGACTTTCCTTATCAATAAAATTTTTTCTCTGTAAACCATTATGCAAACATAAAAAAATAAATTCAATCGCTTAATTTTTATTTTTAAATTTAACATAAATTATTAATTTTATTTTTATATTATTAATTGATATTAAAAACATGACTAAATAAATTGATATTTTTAAAGTGATCAATAATTTAAAAGTAAAATTTGGTAATTTATATCAAATGTAGAAATATTTTTCATACTTTTTCTCTCGTTATTTAACTAAATTACATGTTCTTCCACACTTTTTCTTGTTACTAAATTATGTTTTCAATCTTTTCAACTAGTCATTTTGAGATTAGTTGTCGACACTTCAATGGTTGAAAACATTTTTTTTTGTTTCCATCACCTATGGATTTTTGTGTGTGGACCTGATCCTTCAATTCTCTTTTTTTTATGTTGTCGAACATATTAATGGACTACACATTTATACCCACTGTCACCAATGATGAGATAAGGCCATATACCATATTATCTTTTTGAAATTTTATTTGTGAGATTAAAATTGATACATTATTTTTGTCAAAAAATAGATTATTAAAGATTACAGTGGAATAACAGATAATATGTTCATTTTTTATTAAAAGTTTTAGTTAGAGACTAAAGTTATTTTAAGTTGGAGTTATTTACCCTTCAAATTAAAAGTTTATTCTATGAACTTAAATTAGTGAAAATAAGAATTTAATCGTACTCGATGTTTAGATCAAGTTTATAATGCATGACGTATGTTTGTATATAATACTTATATTTGGTGGATTGACATAGTTTGGTAAAAAAATTCTCGATATAAATAAATAATTATTTCAAATTATAAACAGAGCAAATCGTTCACACATTAGATATATGGTATAAAAAAGGTTTATCATGCCTCAACACAAAGCTAGAGAGTTGTTTACTGATGCACATGAATTCAGTTATTATTGTAACATGATTTTGAAGTTAATACAAGTATATATCCAAAAATTTAAAATCTTTAATTAATCTTGATAAAATTGCTTATATAAAAAAAAATGACGCATACAAATATACGAAAAATAACAATATGTTACTATTCATAATAAAGGAAAGTAGTTATCTGAAAATATATTAAGCAATAATTATACTTTTTTTTAATACTCTCAACATATAAAAGTTAAATCTAAATGGAATTTTGATTCATTGACTTCAATTACATCATGCTTGAATATTTCTTGATTTTATTCGATACTCCATGTCACTTAAATTCTTTAAAAATTTATCTGTGCGATAATATTTTTAGAAATTCTGAATAGTATCGCCAGAACTTGTTATCTTGTTATATGAGATATGAATGAATCCAATTCTATACGTTTAATTCCACCCTCTGCCACTGATTTTCTAATTTCTACACTCAAAATTTTTGCTTTGTTCCTCATTTCATCTCCTTCTTTTGATGCCATTAATTTTTCCACACAATTTTTCACCACATTTGATTTTACCAATTCATTCCTATCAGCCCAATCTCTAACAACAATTCCAATTTTAAGAATCTTGGTAATTAATACAGTATTTCTTGGTTGATCAGAATGCATTGGCCATGCAGCTATTGGCACGCCCATCGAGACACTTTCCATGCATGAATTCCACCCACAGTGACTCAAGAATCCACCAGTCGAACAATGCGACAAGATCTCCAATTGAGGTGCCCAATCTCTTACCAAAATCCCCCTTTCTTTAACTCTCTCCTCAAACCCCTTTGGCAATTCAATCTTTCTTGTTGAGTCTTTAGTAAAAACATTCCCTTTATCCGCATCTCTCAACACCCAAATGAACTTTTGTTCGCTCTGCTCTAGTCCAATTGCCATTTCCTTTATCTGTTCATCAGAAAATGAAGTTGTGGTACCAAATGATACTAATATCACCGAGTTTTGTTCTTGTTTGTCGAGCCATAACAAACACGTGTGGCTTTTGGTATAGGGGCCGTTCTTGGGAAATGTGACCGGGTTAAACGGGCCGAGGGCCCATTGTTTTTCGTTGTTATTGGTTACTTCTTTCGACAACAAATCAAGAAAAGGACTTTCTATCACTTTACAAGTGTTATAAATCTTTCCCGAGTTAAAGTTCATGCATTCATATTCTTTTCTCATAAGATTCTCGAATTCTGGACTAAAACAATCTTTGAGGGAAGGAAGGTCAATCAGTATTTCAGAGTCTATAAGAAACGGTCTCTTTTTCCGCTCCCATATAAACAGGAGCAGAGCAAAAGCTGACACACTATGGAAAGTGTATGCCTCAGCATTTGGTACTGACACATAATCTTGAACAACTGATCCCATCAGAGAGTCGTTTATGATAACGACTCTCTGATACTTGGATGAAAGAGTTTGGATTAACCTTTTCACAGGATTCCTCAGATAGGACGATGATTCAAACGAAGATTGAAGATGAGATGGAAATTTCATCCGCGAATTTGGATTTGGATTTGGTGAGATGAAATTAGGAATAGGAAATTCATGGAAATGAATTTTGGAGAAAGAGTCAAAACTATTTACAACTCTAACTTTTGCTTGAAGATTATGTGTTTTTGTACTAACATAATGAACTTTTATGTTGTTATAAGATGCTATAAGGCAAGAGAGTTGTAGAAGTTGATTAAGATGACCTTGTGCTAGAAAAGGGACTATTACTACAACAATTTTTTGACCTTTTTGGTTATTTTTGCAAATATGAAGATTGGAAGCCATTGAAGAAATAAATTCCCAATGAAATATTTCTAAACTTTGTATGAGAAAATATGAAATTTTTTTTTTCTTGGTTAAAATTTTTGGTACAGACTTTCTCATAACTTTACCCCCTATTTATTTAATTTGTAGAGGGTGAGAACATGTGAAAATTGAGTCACATGGCAATAAAAGTACCATGTTTAAGTTAAAGAGTTTTAATTACGAGTTCGATAAAAAAGGAAAATTTCATATTTTTCTCAAAAATTCTTTTTTTTTTTTTAGTTTTTGTCTTTAAAAGAAATAATGATTAAAAGAAAACATGAACTATCATATTCATGAGTTTCATATTTAGTTATCAGTCATTTTCTTTTTCTACGTAAACTGTTAAAGTCAATACATCGATGCCGATTAGAATCGACCTTCGAACTATCATTATCTACTTAACTAGTTAGGTGTATTTTTAATACATAGATAATAATAATTTAGGTTGAAAAAAGATTCAACTAATAATTAAAATCGCAAAAACTGATAGCTTAAATATATCTTTTAATGATTAACTCAGTTAAAAATATAAACTCGAAATTCTAAATTTACTTTCATTTCTAATAGACATGAAGTTCTTATTGTAGGACATAGGTAGACATGAAGTTCTTATAATTATATGACATTTTTTTAATTAGAAGTAGTTATCATATAATAAATGTACTTGCATAAAAAAAGAGAGTTTGGTGCAATATCTGGCTGGTGACAGCAGTGCTACAAACTTCAAGCAAACTGTATAAATGAAACTGATAGATATAAAAGGTCATAATTAGGATAGTATTTTAGGTCTAGTTAAATTATTAGTGGTATGCAAATTGTAATTATATATATATATATATAAATAATAATTAACATTGTTTCATGTTAGTAGTAAGGACAAAGAGAAATTAATAGATTATTTACTTGGACATATCAATTTATTTTATATAGACTTTGACTAATAAGTGAACGTAAGTAGATAGTGGATATTGCTAATTTGTAGTTGTAAAAGTGTAGCATATTAAGTTGATTTATGATTAAGCTTGAATTATTATATTGAATATAAAAAAGTTGTTGTAACTAGCTTGTAGTTATTGAAGTGTAGTATTAAGGTGGTTCAGTTGGTAAACTGATCTTGTATTATAAGTGTTGGCTATTAATAAAAAAGATAATTGTATATAATAGCAAATTAATAATCTAAAATAAATAAAGTAGCTAGGGTTTGATTTAATTGTGTTCCATAGCAAACGTTTGTCAAAATTTGCCAGTTGCCTCTCTCTCAAAAATCTCGCTCGCCACTCTCCCATCCTCGCTCCAATCTCTCGCTCGCTTCCTCACTTTTTATACAAACACAAGTGTATAAAAACTATTTCTATTTGTATAAATCAGAGAAAATTGTATTAATACATATATTTTTGTTCCCCTTTCTCTCCTCTTCCAGATCTCGCTCGCAATCCTCGCCTTTCTCACTTATACAAACAGAAGCGAAATGTATAGATTGCATTTCTGTTTGTATAAAGCGTGAGAAAATTGTATGTACACATGCAAGTACATATATTTTCGTCATATACACTTATAATTATACAATAAAAATACTCCCCTGCCCAGTTTCTTTTGCCTTTCTCTCTTTCTCGTTTTATATAAATTCAAATTGTATCTAATTTCTCTCTTTCTCGTTTTATTCAATTTGATTCAATTGTATATTCCCTGTCCAAGTCTCTTTTATCTTTCTCTTTCTCATTTTATACAAATTCAAATTGTATATAATCGTTCTATACACTTATAATCATACAATTCGTTTTATACACTTTTCTCGTTTTATACACTTCGTTTTATACAATTTGCTTCAACTGTATATGTATAGCGAATTATACAATTTCTATGTTTGCTATGGAGCGCAATTATGCAAACTTTGCTATATCATACAGATATGAATTTTTTATTTGCTATATGTGAAAGTTGCCATTAATAAAATAAACGTAGCAGGGGATATTACTAGTTCGTAGTTATTAAAATGTTTGCATTAAGATAATTCGAAGTATAATAAAGTGAACATAGGTAGGGGATATTACTAGTTTGTTAAAGTGTAACATTAAGTTGATTTAAGTGATTAAATTTTACTAAAATTCGAAGTACTATAGTGAATATAGTTAGCTTGTAGCTATCGAAGTGTATTATTAAGGTAGTTCAGTTGGTAAACACGTCTTTGCATAAAGTTCCACTAATAAAATAAATATAGTTAGTGGATGTAACTATCTTGTAGATATTGAAATACAGCATCGAGATAATTCAAGTAATAAAACCTTGTTTAAGCCCAAATTACTATAGTGAACACATTTAGATAGTTCGAGCTCTGGATACAAAATTTTATTGACAGCATCACCCCTAAATAAACTTTATAATACGTAATTCAAACTTAATTAGAGTTTCAAATGTAGACTTCGAATACCAAACGAAAACCAAATACTATACAAAGAAATTAGTTTGGATTGAAAATAACAAACTGATGTGACAGATTATTTGCTTATATTGCAATAGGATGAGTCACATGTCAATAATGTAAGTAGGCTAAAAGTTCTCAATATATAGGATAGGGTTGGTTAGTTATTAATATGCTTGCTTAAAGAATATATTTCTCCGTCTTAAATTATTTATCGTAAGTTTTAAAATTAATTTTCTTAAATTATATATAGTTTGAAAAGTGTAATCAAGATAAAATTATCTCATTTTATCTTTTATAGTTATAATTTGAAAACTACAATCTACAAACATCTCAATTATGCGATGTTATGATTTATTCAAATATCACTAAAAGATAAAATAACTAAAACCTTCTCATATTTCATGTTTTTAAAAATGTGTATAAAAAGAAACATGACAGATAATTTGAGAATGAGACAATAAGTACACATCTAATTCTACTATTGAAATTTAAACTCGTGATACTACAATTTAAATTATAATCTTTTAACCGGAAACTTGTAGCAGTTGTCCCGATAAATTAATCGAACGATTTATTTAAGTATATTATGTGACATCAAGCCGTGATAAAAATTGTAGTGCATAATTGTCACGACCCAAATCGGGCCGCGACTGGCACCCACACTTACCCTCCTGTGTGAGCGAACCAATCAAATCTAAACTTTAACATTTCAATGTACTATCAACATAAAGTAATGCGGAAGACTTAAACTCATTAATAAAAACCAATTCAATAACTATTATTTCCAAAATCTGGAAGTCATCATCACAAGAACATCTACTTCAAATTACTAAATCTAAGAATTTCTAAGAAGCTAAAAATACATAAAAGCTAGTCCATGCCGGAACTTCAAGGCATCAAGACATGAAGAGGAAGATCCAGTCCAAGCTAGAAGCATTAGCTCACCCTGATATCCGGAGTAATGAAGACTGGCTAGAGTTACTGTTGAGTCGAAGATGACGGCACGTTTGCTGCACTCTACAATTAAACAAGAAGAAAACATAAAAGTAGGGGTCAGTACAAAACACGGGTACTGAGTAGATATCATCGGCCAACTCAAAATAGAAATCAATATATACCAAGTAATATCATAAAATCAGCTATGATACTCAACATGTAGCAACAACAAGTACTATGTCATAATCAATTACCGTCAAGTTCACACATGAGGACTCAAGCATCAATACCATACTCATTTGGGAATTATGTTCATTAGATTGAGTATATTAACATCTTTCAAGATTCATTATCTTTATTTCTCTTGTGTCGGTACGTGACACTCCGCTCCCTCATATTCATTAGTTCTCTTGTGTCGGTACGTGACACTTCGATCCCCTACATCTACGTGTCGGTTCATGACACCCGATCCACTAATTCTATGTGTCGGTTCGTGACACCCGTCCCACTAATTCTATGTGTCGGTTCGTGACACCCGATCCACTAATTCTATGTGTCGGTTCGTGACACCCGTCCCACAATTTACGTGTCGGTTCGTGACACCCGATCCACTAATTCTATGTGTCGGTTCGTGACACCCGATCCACTAATTCTATGTGTCAGTTCGTGACACCCGTCCCACTAATTCTATGTGTCGGTTCGTGACACCCGATCCACTAATTCTATGTGTTGGTTCGTGACACCCGTCCCACTAATTTTACGTGTCGGTTCGTGACACCCGATCCACTAATTCTATGTGTCGGTTTGTGACACCCATCCCACTAATTCTATGTGTCGATTCGTGACACCCGATCCACTAATTCTATGTGTCGGTTCGTGACACCAGATCCACTAATTCTATGTGTCGGTTCGTGACACTCAGAACCTCATATACTATCCTGGTACCGGAACGTGGCACCCGATCCATATTATTCCTGGTGTCAGAATGTGACACTCCGATCCTCATATACTATCCTGGTACCGAAACGTGGCACCCGATCCATATTCTATCCTTGTGTCGAAACGTGACACTCCGATCCTCATATACTATCCTGGTACCGGAACGTGGCACCCGATCCATATTCTCCTTCCATCAATTCATCAAGCCTTCTTTCTTACCAAGGCATCATCAATCTCACTATTTTAGTTCATCACGCCTTCTTTTATACCAAGGCCTCATCATTAACAAAGAGATTAGGGTTTTTCAAGATTTGGGATTCAATAACTTCATCATGCTTATATAATCACAATTATATAATTACATTCATGCAAGCATACAAGTAAGCACATAGCAGGGTTTACAATATTATCAATACATATCATTCGCTATTAAGAGTTTACTACGAATATCGTAAGAAAAACCATAACCTACCTCCACCGAAGATTAGTGATCAAGCAAGCAATTTCCCCAAGCTTTGTTCTTCGTTTTCTCTCTTCTTCGTTCAACTTTCTCTCTCTTTCTCTTGTTCTTTCTATTTTCTTTATTCAAACCCTCTTTCTTTTACCCTAATTAGTATATAATTAAGAATAAAAGATGACAATAATAACCCACTAATTAACTTAAGGTTACCTCTTTTAACCCCCAAGTAATTGAGTTATTAATATAAACCCACGAAATATATAATTATAGCAAGAAATAGTCCAAAACGCCTCTTTAAAACTTAACCAGA